GAGTTAGCCTAGGTTTATTAAGCAATCCAGTAGTAATTTTTTTTTTAATCAAAGCAAAAACACACGAATATACTACCAGGAGCTTATAATTGCAAAATATTTTTTTATGCAAACATGAAACTCAAAATGGAGACATTTTTGCTAGAGATTTCTTTGAATATTTTTTTAGTTTTCTATATCCAACAAACCTAAAAGCTTTACCATACACTGGAAAAAATCGCTTTTTTTAAAGGTTGTAAATTTGATGTAAATATGATGTAACTGTCCAAAATTCTGTAAATTTTTTTTTAATCATTTCCATAGTAAATTTACAGAATTTTGGACACTAACATCATATTTACATTTTTTTTACAACCTTTAATGCGCGCGATTTTTTCCAGTGATATTCAAAAAAAGGCGTTCTGTTTTTTTAATATTGGAGTATACTACTTTACCTACGTGAGTTTATTAATAAATCTACTGTTATTTTTTTGCCAATGATTTTTCTAATATCAAACATGGTCGATCAAAGGAGAATGATTGGTTCTGTTGGAGCTCATTAAACTTGCATAGTTTTATCAAAACATCCTTTCTTAAGAGAACGCAATTTTTTTTTGAAACTAACACGTGAAATAGAAAAACGTGTTCAAGTCCGATAAGTAAGTCGTTCAGAATTCTCAAACAAAATTGACCCTCATTCGTAGTTAATTCAAGTCTGTATTGAGGCTCTTTTTTTTTGAACAGTTCCTGYATTTGCGGCSYTGTAATACGCGGTCTATTCAACTAATGTTCAATAGATTTCCGGGTAATCAATGTACAATAATTTGTGTATATCAACTTCAATTTTCGTTGTTTTTTTAAYAATGTTGTGCCATCTCCCKTAAAACTTCAATTTTATCATTCGCTATGACTGTTTTTTTTTCGTTTTATRAAATAGCTATATATGTTTGTTGCTAGAAATGAGAGCGTGCAGAGAGTCCATTTGCGAGCGTTGTATATATTTTTGTTTTGCAACATAGCTGCGGTATGTTGATATTTTTTTTTTGATTGGCCCCGCGCWGGCTGTGTCATGGTGTTTGCTTTCGGTTTAAATTTATTTTTTTAGAGTCATTCATTTTCAGAAGCAGAGACGATAATCTGTAACAATAAACCCTTTCTTTTTTTTATTACATTGCGGATACGAATATAGAATAACACAATAAAAAGCGATTAGAAAAATTTTTTTAAAAAATACGTTGAACACTAAGGAAGTGAAATCGATTGCAATAGTAAAAGATCATTTTTTTTTTTGTTTTCCTTTCTCAATACACGAAAATTGCGACAAAGCYGTAACCGAACACTTTTTTTAAATAGTCCTTTTCATTTGATTTTTACAATATAGGAAATGCATTTTCATTGATATGGATTTTATAGAGAAAAGACAAAAATAAGAGGCTTTTACGGTAGGAAATGAATAGTGGAAATTGAAATATCAAGTTACGATAGAAAACAATCTTAAAATGCATATTTTACTTTGTTTTAAGTTTTTTTAGTGCTTGGGTCTTAGTTTCCATTAAAAAAAAATACTACGTTTGTCTGACTATTTTTTTTTAAACTGAATTTAAAGCTTACTTGTCTAATAAAAGATAATAGGGACTGATATAAATTTTTTTCTCTCTAATCTTTTTGATATTTTGGGCATTAACGAAGGTTTATTAAATTAGACTGCGATGGAAAAATGGGAACAAAATAAAAAACGACGAATTCTTCTAATGGATTTAAAACAAAATATAACACAAAAGGGACATTACTTGAAYTTTACTGATTTTAAATGTGCTCGTCAAGATACGGTGATTATTTTGGGCAGGGTTGGTTCTGAAATAGTTATATTAAACAGTGCTTTTATAGGATTTTTTTAATATGGTTCTGTCATTKTGCGCGTAACGACTTAGTCATTTCTCATCAAATTTCTTTTTTTTCTGATATTGTTGCAGAAAGATAAGAGGTGTAATACTGAACGAAGCAAAAACATTTTTTTTTAAGAAACAAACTTAAAAAAATAGAATAGAAACAGTCTTTTTTCTCGAATGTTTTTTTTTTTGTATATTGTTATAAAAGACCTGGAATTAACCTTGATTGAATTATAATTTCATAATCAAATGGAAGGCTTGATTGTAGTTACTAATGAATGGAAAAAACAACATAAATAAGGCATAAACTTGCGATCAGATTCAAAAGAAGCAAAATGAAGAGATGGATGAATGRAAAGAATCAATTTTTTTTACGATCGGATAGAACTGAGAACAGCCAAATGGRTAAAACGAAATCAACTAATGATTTTTTTAATGACCAAGCGAAGCAAGCCACCAAATACAGTTGACGAAAATCTTATTAATGAATGTTTAGATAAATGGATGGATTGGGAAAGAGATGGATGGGGAGTATAATGAATAACAGGTTTTTTTTTGTACGAAAAGTAAAGAACGAACSATCGAAAAGTGCAAAATCGAACAACTRATCTTTTTTTACGAACAAATGAAAAACTTACACCTATAGATACAAATGATTGAGGAAATGCATATTTTTTTTGGATGAATGAATAAAAATGCCTAAATAATACATTTTGCCTCTTTACCTTGCTCTTTTTTTGATTCCGCGCTGGACTAAAATCTCATTATGGCGACATTGAAAGCTTATACTCATTGTTATTAAACATTGTAAAATACTTCCTACCTTATCTCACCGTCATGTGAAAATCATATCATTTTTTTACGTAAACAAAGTAACGCTTTGATTGGAGATATAACAAGAATTTCTTGTGAGAAATCGGTTTTGATTTGCATCATACTCGATTTTAAGTTCTATAAAGCAGTCTCTATTTTATATTTTTTTTAATCGTACTGACCTCTGAGAAATACTAGTTATTATCATCAATCAAGTGATATCGTTTTTTTGGGGGAGGGGGAGGGTGGCTTTTTTTACTCCATATACATCTATTAAAGAGATTTTTTTTTTAGAGCGGAATTTTTGACTTATGATTTTACGCATTTCTTATTTATTTCTTAAACATTTTTTTAGATCGGTATTATTTATGGATATGAATCGCCAAATTTTTTTCCAATAATTCTGATTTTTTTACACTAATATTCATATATATAGCAATATGCAGAAATTATGATCTTTTCGACTCATTTTTTTAGTATATATGTGAAATAAAACAGAATTTATGGGATATAATCGCCAATACTTTTTTTTTTTTAGTACTAGTGCTATGCAACTTCAAAAAAATATCAGCGATGATATCCTATAATTTTTTTTTTATTTTATATGTACTTGAAATATGAGTCAAAAAGATCATAATTTCTGTATAATGCTTTTTTTAACTAACCTTCAATATTTTGGGATAACATGACTGATATATATTTTGAGTTGTCCTTTTTTTGCACTTTCTAAAAAAATATCAGCAATTTCTTAGGCTACTTTGATATATATGAATATAAGCGTACGAGGGTCAGAATTACGTATTACAAATAGCTGTAGAAGTACAGGTAAGGAAGTTTTTTTTCATTGTTATTTTTGTTAGTGGTCGGTAATATTTATAAATAATACAATAATAGTAATACATATAAAGTACTGTGCTACCTTCTGCAAGGTAGCACAGTACTTGTTCATCCTTGGCAAAGTCGTAATAAAAAAGGCGACCAAATCACTTAAAAAAATCGCGCGCTGGGAACCGTAATTTTTTTTTACGGGATATTTACAAACATTTTCCATCATATTTACAGGGTCCAAAGCGCGCGGTTTTTTTTTCCAGTGAATCATCGACAAAGCAACAAAGTGAGGTTGAAGTAACACAATTCTATTTTTTTTATCACATAATTTTGCAATAGATTGCTCTTTTATCTTTATTATCATCGTCATCATTTTTTTTATTATTATCATCACTTCCATTCTCAGATGCTCTTTTTTAGAACCAATTTCTTTTTTTTTTAGTTATCATTATGATCATTATCGCGACTATAATATTTTTATCATTGATAGATCTTTTTTTTAATAAGGCTTCCATCTTGAGTTTTTATTGGCTGAAAAAAAATTGCGATGCCTAGTTTTTTTTAAAAAGAAATTTTGATTCTAGAATGTACGGTTTTGAGAACGATATGAGATTTATTTTTTTCTAATGAAAAACATCAAAAACCTTAACGTATTTTTTTCTAACTCATTATGTTTATTTTTTTTGAATTCACAACAGTCTATGACACCGAACCATCTCCATTTGTTAAAATCTTTCCTTTTTTTTCTTTTCGCTGAGGGTCTGTACAGTTATGCAACATTTTATGACGTAAAGTGAGTGATTATGACTCGAGTGGCTTAAGAGAAGCTTTCACCAGTTTCCTAACGCAATTCTATTATCTTTTTTTGAACAGACGATCGAGAACTAAATTCGATAAGATTTTTTTCCAAGGCCAAGCGAATTTTTTTTTAAGGGTTAAAAAGGAACCAAAACCGTTCCCTGCGGTACACCATAAATAACGTTTTTTTTGCCAATCAGCACGCTGGAATTATCCAAGAAAGGTTAAAAAATGGTTGTTATCAATTTTTTTATTTGGAAATGTTTTAGTTAGTGAACCTATCTATTTCAAACATTATGTTGGCTAACTCAAAAGCTAATGCTCCTTTGGCCAACATACACTTTCACTCTGTCTCTAACAATTTATTCATTTGTCAATATTTCACCTTGTTTTATTTAATATTCATGTACATAACTTATAAATTAGTGTTTTTTTACTGAAATTGAAATTGAATTGAATTGAAATAGCGGTAAATCACCGTCATAAATCTTTTTTTTGCTTCGGCTTTATTTGAAACTTGCATAGTACTATCCTGCTGACTTTCTCTTCATTTTTTTAATACTTAAATATCTTAAGTGGTTCAACGTGGATTAAAACTCAATGGCCTGAAATTTTTTTGAGTGCTTTCGTCTTAGATGAGTCAGAGAATCACTCAAAATTAAAACTGATACTTTTTTTTTACTTAAAGTAACCCGATCATGTAAAAAGATTACCGCAAAAAGAGAGTTCGAAAAAAAAGTTTTTAATCAACTTAGGAGATGTTTGAGAGCAGTTTGTGCAATCCAAAATGGTACTTTTTTTTTTTTTTTCCATTTCAGAGGCTTAGGCTAACATAAGCAGCTTGGAAATAAAAGCTTGATCTCTGTTTTTCAGTAAAATCCTTTCTGGTAATGTCAAAATCGAATCACGACAAATTTTTTTTTTCTTCTTATTAAATGAGAGAGATATATGATCTGAAAATTGATGTACGTGAAATTCTTTTGACACAGGTGAAACTGTGGAATTGGTATATATGTTTGCAATGGGTTTCTTTAGAGATATACTTCGATGAAATATTTGTTCATGTTCGCTGTTACGTAACTACACCAACCCTCGATCGGTTAGGTTCAAGAAATGCAGAAGTCGGTCAATAAAATAGAAGAAAGTATGATCGTGAAGGTTTTTTTTTTAGCAATTTTAAAAATACAAACAATTCAAAGAATAAAGCAATATGCAAAAAACTTTTTTTTTTAAGAAAAAGAAAGAAAAATAATCCAGAAATAAATCAAGGACATTCAAAGCATTTTTTTGAATCAATAAATAAAGCAAGCAAAACAAAACAAAAATTGAGAAAAACAACAAAATTTTTTTCAATAACAACATTAACATCAACATTACAACAACATTAATGACGCAAACAACAATTTTTTTTCAGCTAATACACAACAACAAAGTATAACAGCAACAACAACAACAACAACAATAATTTTTTTACAAAGGCGAGCCCGCAGTAAAGCAGTGGTAATCTCGAAGGGAAGATCTTTGATTTTTTTTTCCCTCAGCCAACAAAGAAAGCGAGAATTCTTAAGTACGGGCGGTTTTCCTTACTTTTTTTCGCCGCTGATTAAGTCGTATTTTTGGAATCTGTTAATGGACTTAATAATTTATAACAGCTTGTAGCGATGGAAGAACAACTGGAAATATTCTAGAAATATGTTTCATTCATTGGCTTTTTTTTGATAAGCCATAAAAAACAAAACGTTTCAGACGCAAAACAATCCGGCAGGTGTCTAAAAAGTTTTCAGATATAAATTATATCACCTTGCATGTTATTAAGTCTGAAAGAAAAAAATTTTTTTTTTTGGTCAATTTTGGAAATATGTACAAGAACTATATAAGACGTATATCACCGCTTTTTTTAGGAAGTGGGAAAAAATAACAGGGCGTGTCTCGACATTTTGTGGGTTTTGTGACTGTAGTTTATAGATTTATAGCATAAATAATCTATTCACTTTTTAATTATACAGAAATAAATGCTTTTGAAATGCTATGAAGGCAATATATATCAGTTCAGACTTCTATATTTTGCCGCATCTTTTTTTTATCTAATTGCTTTCGTGTGCTCACGTGAAGATTCCCAATCTAAATCAGTTGACATTTTTTTGTAAGATAAATAATAAATAATAATAAAATAATAATAATAATGAAATATAAAACATTTTTTTTGAATTCAGAGTACAAACTGGCCATGAACTAAACACCAGCAATTAGATTAGACGCGACTGAAGATCGACGTCTGGAGCCGCAGGACTTAATTCCGGAGTGACCATTAAAAGATAATTTTTTTAATGCATATCTTTAAGGGGGCAAAACATGAAAAGAAAAAAACTATTCTATGTATCTTTAAAGGTCGTCTGATAGAAGTATCATGGTTTGTGACCAGCTGAAAATTCGTATATAAATTTTTTTAACATATTTAATCAATGTCTTCACTTAACACAATGCTTTTGAGGTTTTTGTCTGTTTTTTTTATTCGTATAAATGTATTTTCTTTTGAGTGTGAACTTTGAAAACATRCAACGTATTTTTTTGGCCAGTGTTCAATTTAATTTCATAGCAAACCAGACTGTCATTTAACGAAAAATCAGCGGATAAAATCTTGTTTTCTGGGCATAGATACAGACGTCACGCGTCAAGGTTACGTAATTTTTTTTATTMTGGATATTTTAGAGTTTTTTTCAAAGACACGCGAAAGAAAGTCCAATGTTCAAAGTGCAAAAAAATGTGGGGTATACAGAAAAGACAAACTAAAATCCACTATTAAAGATCAATGAACTGTAGTACGCTTAAGTGATTTCGCGAATAAAAGAAAACCACTCGAAGAGAGAATTTTTTTAGAGGTTTTTAACCCAACGTTAACGTGAAATAACTGTGAAATGATATTTTATTCTTTTTTTTTTTTCTCTGTTTTCTCGGTGTTTCACACATAATTACTTTGGCTATTGCACTTTGTTTGAGAGATCAATGAGAAACCATACAAGGACTATGCTTTTTTGGTACCAATCGATCATTTTTTTTTGAAAAAGAAAGTATAAACATTGAACTAGATGTGACAACTGTGAGCCGGATGACCTTTTTTTAACAACATGGCCAAAGCGATGGCCGTCAGTAACAATACTGATGGTTCGCTTCAATTTTTTTGGGCAGGATATAGAATTCAATATTGACTTATTTTTCCTTAAGCCACGGTAGTTGTTTTTTTTTTAGACATACTCAATGGACGATTTAAAATTGTTTCTTATAGATAATTCTATGTTTTTTTTTGTTAATTATTCCTTATTTCTTTCTTTATAGAATTCAATATTGACTTATTTTTCTTTTTTTCACGGTAGTTGAAAAATATTTAGACATACTCAATGGACGATTTAAAATTGTTTCTTTTTTTTAATTCTATGTTTTGTATCGTTAATTATTCCTTATTTCTTTTTTATATTTTTCTTTTTTTTCACAGTTCACCTCCCGCTCCCCACCCAAACAACAATAACAACAACAGAACTAACTTTTTTTTAAATACATCTATAAATGCTGCAAAGTTTTATTTCTGCGGACGTTTTAGTTAAGTTTTTTTGATTGAAGTAGACGGTCTAAATACAAGGAAAAGCTTACGCAATAAGTAAACCAGACAGCAAGCCTTGGGTCATTAGAAAATGAATCAAAATTTCCCATTACTACATGACATTTGATTTTTTTTTCTCGCAATTACAAACTCGTGAAAATATTGTGCTGATTATGAGATGCAACAATTTTTTTTAGTAATAAAGGAAATCGGATAAGATCACAAGCCGAAGCCCTAAGCCCGTGAAATTTTTTTTTTCACGGGTTGTTAACAAGAATTCTGTGTGCGTAAATCTTCTCAACGTTTCCAAGAATGCAAATGACACTCAACATGGGGCTCTGATAAGAAACTATTAAGTTTTCGTTAAATATTTTTTTTCGGAGCAAAAGAGCACGTATTCTCAACTCAGTTTTTCATTATTCAAGAGAAAAAATTACTCAATTGATCAATCTCAATAAAAATTAAAGTGCTAAAGCTTTTTAGTACTTTCAGCACGCCGTACATTAAACGTAAATACTTCTATAAATAACAAATAAAAAACGCAGGAATTTTCTGCAATTTACTAACCTTTCATTTCTTGAATCAGCTATCGGCAATTCTCTGTTCAATTCTGCTTATAATAATATCCTTGACTTTCGGGTGCTGATTTTCGTCTTCAGGGCTAAAACGAGCTTCTGCTCAGCTTTAAATCTTCTATCACAACACCACAACACATTAGTGAGTACTGACCTGAGATATTCAAACGGATATGACCTCTGATGGTATTGAGAACGATGCTCAATGGGCACTCTGTCTGCTTTTTTTTTAACGATACCTGTTTGTGGGGGCGGAATAGCAAAAAGGGTGGAAACTAAATCCGTTTTTTTAAAACATGATGAATAATTCAACACCTTTTTAAGTGACTGACGCAAAGCGAAGTTTTTTTTTAAATATCGTGAAAAATTACCACCATATTTGGTCATGAAAGTCCCATGATGCTTTTCGTCATTAAAATGACTTCAACTTTGTAAGTAAATTCACAATTTCCTGCACCAATCTGATTTTTTTTTCAAACAAAGGGAGTAAAGAATACCCGAAAWTACAASCGAGAAAAGAACGTRAAATTTTTTTCACCACATTTGATCAAAGMGATTWCCCAKAAGGGCTTTCGTCATAAAAATRGATTTTTTTTAATCTATCATTGGTCCTTTTTCCCATATGACGTTGGCGAGATGCCMATTGGATTTTTTTTTTCAGAAAGAAATTTCATATTTTGCAGCCCTAAATTTATTAAATCTATCCATTTTTTTTTTTTTTTCTCGAGGATTCGCCACTTGATTGAACTTGATACTTAAAATAAAATGTCTTTTTTTTTCAATAATTACAAAGTCAATTGAAGAAATTGTTTAAGTGGAATCTTTATATATTATTTTTTTAAAAGAAATCAGTCTTAGGTCATCTTAGTAAGGAAGTGGAATTGTTGTTTGCGATTTTTTTGTCTGCCTCGTTAGTTTGGATGATTTTCAGTGGAGTTCATTTACAATTATTTCGTTTTTTTTCCGATGGAATTTTACGTTTCCCGCTAATAATCGACACTGTGGGTACTATCCGGCGCCGTAATTGTGTGAGGTGTGAGCCAAATAGACAAATAAATTACGGTAACTGATATCAGATTTTCAGTATCGCGAGGAATGTTGTCATTACGCCAAAGTTACCCTCATCATCTATCAAACATTTTTTTGGGCAAGGAGTTGATTTAATTAAAAAACGAAAAGAAATGTAATACGCACTTCTTTAATCTTAATTTTGACACCGAAAAAGATTAAAATCGATTAATAATCAATTGTTTCGCAGGCTTTTTTTAACCATTTGATCAGCGGTATCCGGCAAAGGCGCGAAAACGGCACGTGAGTTATGGCTTTTGACAAGACGCGCACGCATCGGATTTCTAACAATAAAATCTTTAAAATTGAAAATATTTTTTTAATATTTGCTAAAGCAATAATAAAAAGAGTTAATTCGGGGGAAATACTACAAAAGGTAAGAGAGCAACATTATTTTACGATATTTTTGTTGTTGTTCATACTTCGATCGTTGTTTTTTTTTTAAAATGCTTTCACTTGCCTTTCATTGTAGTGAGTTCTTCATCGACAATTCTCATTCTCCTGTAGAAATGCAGAAACAAGGTACTTAGATATTCCAGTTACTATACTTCTTAGCTATTTTTTTGCATAATTTGCCGGTTTTCTCGCGATAATAACAGCGTAAATCRTKGCAGAGCTGTTTTTTTTCATTGAACGAGGCGCTCAAAAATAATCGTGATATTTTGCTCAAGAATCACGGAGAAAGCACATTTGTTTAGAAGTTTAGTTTTTATAATGTTCAAATTATCCTTACCTAAAAAGCTGGTGGAAATGATTGAGGATTTATGGCGAATTTGAGATATTTTGTGTCAGTATTCCGTTATTTTTTTCTGAAAGTACGACAAACGTACCGTGACCTGGTCACGTGGACAATTAAAGGTCGATTTTTTTCGCGCGATTGGCTTTAACTTTATCATAATTTTTGTCTTATTATTTTTGTAATTTTTTTTTTTGCGAGCAGAGTGTATTTCCTTACCTCAATAAAAATTCGCGAAGGAAAATATTATTTTTTTAAGGAAATACACTCTGCTCGCAGGGTAGTAATTTAGCTACTAAATTCTCAATTATTTTTTTTTTGGGCAAACTAAATTATTATAGTTAATATTTTTATTTGAGTTTGTTTTTGTTTTGTATAATTTTGATAATGGTGTGAATTTTTTTCTTTGGATGGGTGAGTGAATGTCTGCTCTTTTTTTATTTAAATATAAAGGTTTACAACATACGTTCTCATATTGGAATAAATTTTTAGATTTTTTTATAAAAATGTATCAGTTTTAATTTAAAATGATCAACAACAATTGTTTTTATTTATTTTTTTTTTATTACTGTTTATTGATATTTTCCACATTTTGTTTCCTATAATGAATAAGGAATTATAATTTTTACTTAGCGAATATTTGTACATTTTGTGTTTGGAGTTATAGGGGGAAAGTTTTTTTTACTATAACATCCTCCCTACACCTTTCTTCAACAAAACTTTTGTTATTATTCAATTTTTTTTCTTAAAATTGATATATGTTATTGCTAATATGATAGAATTTACAGCAATATGCAGAAATTCTGACCACTCTGACTAATATTTCAACTATATATAAMATATATCAGAAATTATGGGATATAGTCACTGATATTTTTTTGAAGTTGCCTAGGATCAGTAGTATCTGAAAAAAATATCAGTTTTTTTATCCCATAATTTCTGATATATTTTATATATAGTTGGAATATGAGTCAAAGTGGTCAGAATTTCTGCATATTGCTGTAGATGATGGCATTAGAATATAATATAAGATATATCTAAATTTTTTTGAAAGCAGTGTGATATGCCTTGGTTGACTGATATATTATGTTTACAGTGGATGGATTTTGTGGTACAGATCATAGTGGCAAAGTAGTTTCATTTACAAGGACAAAAGGTATGATTTTTTTTTCTTCTCTATTTAATTGATGTTCTTGGCATTGGCTCACACCTCAACATAAGCACATTTTTTTCAGACACACCCTAATTTACTCTAGGAGACTCTGAGCAATTTTGGTAGTTGTAACTTTTTTTCAAGTCTCTCAAAATGCCCCTGCAGATTACTCTGTGCGTCATGTGCTGGGTTAGTTTTTTTGCATGACTCAAAGCAGATGCAAATGAGTGCGCAGCATTTGCTCTTGAAAAGATTCATTTTATGAAAATCTTGCCAAATATGTAACCTGCGTTGCATCTGGAATATTTTATCAAACTTTTTTTTTTAGTGATCCAGATGCGACACAAGCTTAACATCTTCAGAGAGGGTGAAGTATCACACCCTGCTCGTATTGTTGTATGTTATGAAAAATATATTGGAGAAGTAAATACAGATGCTTTTTTTTTCTCCATATGTGTTGTTTTCAATGGCAAACAATGCTGGTTTCTGCTACCTAAACTTTTTTTCTTTGAATGAATTATTTAGCTCTCCAGCTCTGTGTTTTGAAATGATTGGTGCATTTTTTTTAAAGTTAGAGTCTTGGATACAATCAATCTTTGCCCTTTACATAACTTTCAATAATTTTTTTTGTTTTTTACTCTAGGTAAACTGTTTTTGTTTTTTTTTTATCATCTTGATTTGTAATAACCATTTTTTTTACCATYGATTGCATTTTGTAGACATTTCCTATATTGTTCACACCTTGTAAACCTTTTTTTCGCTGTTTATGCCATCAGTTCTAATTTAATTAATTTAATTTATTAGCTTTGCCCTTTTTTTTGGGCAGGGACACCGCAACAGCGTGAGCCAATTACTGCGGGCCCTGTACTCTCATTTTTTTTACAGACCTCTACATTAAGTATTTTAGCACACCACACTCCTCACATGTTGATTTTTTTTTTGGGAGTTCTATATTTCCCAGTGTGTGTATCAACTAGTAACCCGACCTTTCGTTATTTTTTTACGTTGGTTGCATTTTTTTTTTTTTTTGTATGGATTAACCATAACTCATAAACCTTTTTTTCGCCTGTTTTAACAATGCAATGTACCAAACCGACCGGTCTTTATTCCTCCGCGATTTTTTTTAATCACGTTTTAGTGAAACCATTTGTAAATCCGTCATGTCATAAACCGATCGGTTTTTTTTTTTTTAGACAATGCAATGTACCGGTAAACCGACCGGTCTTTATTCCTAGTGATTTTTTTTAATCAAGTTTTAGTACCGTTTGTGGAACCATTTTTATAATTGTAATCCGTCATCTCATAAACCGAACGGACGCTGTTTCGAGCATTACGCTCCGACTTATTGTCGGTCATATCGATTTTTTTCTCCATTCCAGCCATCACACGGCAGCATAGCATCTTACGTAGTTCCCTTTTAAAGTCATTCTTGAGAAGCGCATACACTATTGGATTAACCGCTGAATTGAAAAACAGCAGTACATTTTTTTCATTCACAACTTCTCTGTCAATAGTGCAMACATTGAAATGCCAACAGATTGTTTTTTTTTTRTCAAGGAGCCAACATCCTACGAAGAGCAAGACCACGGCACCAATAACTTTAACTTTTTTTTCTGTACGGTCTCGAATCGACCTAGATGTACATTGATTGTTAAATTTCAGCTGGTTTATTTGGACAGCGGTTTGTCGCGCATGRCGACGCGCGGTGAGGACGATCCGAGTGTACATTTTTTTCATGATAACTGGTGGTAAAAACTCAAAGATTGCCARCATAGTGCTTGTATGTATTTTTTTTATTTCCAAAGCCTTTTTGGTGTCAAGATCGGACCACGTCAACGGTAAAAATGATTTTTTTTTAGGAAGAGTCCACGCACTACTTATGATGACTGCAACTCGTGGAGWTGTCATCCTTTTTTTGTATCGTAATGGGTAGACAATCCCAAGGAACCTATCTAGCGTCATAGCAAATATACTGATCACAGCAATGGACATCATTGCATTGTAGAACATATAAAATATTTTGACATCRCATTTTTTTTAGTACAAATTACAAAAGGCTGCCATTGATGGAAGGAATAAACCAATTAAAAAGTTTTTTTTGCTTAATGACATCACAAACCAGTTGGCTGACGTAAGCAGCCGCCGTCGCCTAGTTTTTTTTACGTAGATAACGAGTCCATTACCAAATATGGCAAGGAAGGATATGACTGCTAGTTTTTTTTAGTACCAAAGCGGTCGGCTATTGTCGTATGGCTGTTTGGACTGGTGATGAATGCTTTTTTTGTTTGTTAGATTCAATGTTTCGTTGGACATTTCCTTTTGTCGAACTAAACCTGTTTTTTTTAGAGCAGAAATGGTTGTTAATGGATTTTATGTCTTCAGTCAATCAGAAATTATGTTTTTTTCACTACAGGGGCGGGTCTAGTGATGTTGCTATCATAGCAACATCACTAGACCCGTTTTTTTAGTGAGCATCCCATAATTTCTGATTGACTGAAGATATGATGTGGATTGCAGTTCTTTTTTTTTCGATAGCTATAATTTTTGCACGATTCGAATATGAAGTGTTGGCCATCATATTTTTTTTTCTACACATGTAACGAGCCCAGGGTAACGAGTATCCTGACTCCCCCCTCACGAATTTTTTTTCCGTCCCTTCATAAATGTTTTTGACATTTCCTAGTATAAAGCTCAGCCACGTAGTTTTTTTTAATTTTTAAATACGATAAATCTAATTCGTTAAGTTCCTCATTGATGTGCCGTATTTTTTTACCGAAAAATAATGGTTCAAGATGGCGGCCATATGGTTAAGTTACCTCAAACTGTTTTTTTATTCCATCTTCAGTCAGTTTACTCATAATTTATACTGTAAATACTTGTTGTATATTTTTTTATTTCTTTTTTTATTAAACAAAACAATACTTTGAGTCGTATTTTTACAGGATTTTTTTTTTGAATTACTCAAAGTGTTTGTTTTTACCATTTAAATTGTTTCCTGTTTTATTAAATTTTTTTATAATCACTGGACATTTACTTAAGTGAACGAATTACCTCGTTAAATGGGGTATTTTTTTTTCCTATTCAGACGTGTTTCCTGTTTTTAACTAACTATTCCTTGCCGACTCACAAATTTTTTTTAATGGTCGCAAACRAAATCSTTGTTCAGGCTTCGAASGAGGCTTAAMTATTTGTTTTTTTTAATCCGAATAAAGAGATCTGGTTTTAAAAGTTATAACTTTACGAAACCCCGACTTTTTTTAAGTTTAAAATCTCTGCACATACGTTTCGAAAGCCGATCAATTTTGGAGTAATTTTTTTTTCGAGATTTGCTTAAAACAAAGAAGACAGGTTTATATGATTATGAAGGCGTGTCATTTTTTTTAAAAGAATTAGAAAGGAAATTGAACAATAAGAGGATGAGTTAAATAATGTTGGTTTTTTTAATTGGAAAGTGGAAAAGTGCAATATGTCACTCTTAAAAGAAATAAGATAAAATTTTTTTTAATAACGTCTATTAAGATGGAAACAAATGAAAACAACATGCAGCGTCAACAACATTTTTTTCAACAGTAACAACATATATGAGAGGGAATGCATGATATCGGTAGACTCGATCTTTTTTTTTCCACAGTCTCCAATGTCAAGTAATCTTATTTCATGCCCTTGAAATGAGCAGTAATTTTTTTAGGATAGTAGCTTACGATTACGGAACACCGCGAGATCAATTAATAAAAGCCACTTTTTTTTAGACATTTTCACAAGTAAACATGCACTTGTAATTTCTCCATTTGAAGAACTTTATTTTTTTTTATACGTTTTTTGATTGAAGCTTTAATAACTCGAGACATTTCATTCAATGAACTTTTTTTATCAAAACGTTGGATCTATAACCGATGGGGATATATTATTTAGAAATGTACTCTTTTTTTTGCAATTTGACGTGCGCCTCAATGATTCGTAATATTTCCACGTCTTGTGAGGCAGTTTTTTTAACCTTACTCCTTAAATGATTTATGCGTTAATATTATACATTCCCGCTAACGTACTTTTTTTATTGTACGCTTTGATGTATAATGTTTTCGTTTCTACCAGCTAACGATCTCGCTATTTTTTTAGACTTAAAAAGTTATGCTCCGTCAGCTATTTGCGCAAACTAAATTTAACAAATTTTTTTTTATTTTTATCGCATGTCTTACGTTTCCCTAAAGGTGTTCTTTTAGCTTGCGTAATTTTTTTATGAATAAGTTCCGTCAGCTGTTTTCAAAACGTTAATGGACACTGTCGCGTTAATTTTTTTAAATTCATACGTAAATCCGGTGTCCATTGGGTCCTGCGGCTATCAACGTAAGGTTTTTTTTTGAACGTTTTTAAACGTTAAAATAAAAAATTAAAATTAAATTAAATTAAAATTATTTTTTTCTTATCATGGAAGTTCTCTGCAATTTGTGAATCTTAACATTTGCCAACGAAATTTTGTTTGCTTCTTGTTCGATTTGATGCCTTGACTACAATCTGTGACGTCTTCAATGACGCATTTTTTTTTTCAAATCAAACGTTCGTTTATTAACCGGACCTTTCTGCTGACATTTAGAGCAAAGAGCTAGTCAATTTTTCTTGTTAAAATCACGTTTCATTGACACTTTATTTTGTACGTTTTTTTTTTGAAAAATATGATTTGAGAAACACCCCTCCACGCTATCAAAAGTAGGAAGGAATTTTTTTTTACTTCTGTTTGCTATCTCATCTTGTGCTCAGTTCTTTTACCAGATATAAAAAGATTTTTTTATCAAAACCACCTTGCTCAAAGCTTAAGGTGGATGAGCTTTATAAAACATCCGATTTTTTTCAATATCTTATCTTCTGCCTGGTTATCCGATTGAAAAAGTAAAAAAAATAGTCTTTTTTTTTTCTTTCTACAAATGTAATGTACTTTACTCCATATAATTCTTATCTGGATTCATTTTTTTTTTATTGTCAATTAGTCTTAGCGTAGATCCAGCCGGATTTCTAGAAAAACTTTACTTTTTTTGCATTGCATAAAGTCTTACGTTTCCGTAAGCCCTTACGCGAGCTAACATAAAGCTTTTTTTACGATTTTTGTAGCATTTCATAACTTAATCTAAGTAAAAAATAAGCAGTTTATTTTTTTTTTTCCCTGCATTATAGTGCGCATTTAACTGTGCAGAATTGTCCACATACTTACGCTTTTTTTTGACGTTTCCGTAAGATGATTTCGATTGATAGCGATGAACGATGCAGTATGCCCTTTTTTTTGACGCTTTTGCAGCTCTTGGTTTATATAAACATTCATTTGATTCGTGCTCTCATCTTTGTATTTCTACCGTGTTACTGCATGGAGTACAGCACTAACTCCACGTTATTTGTTAATTTTTTTAGAGAACATTGCATTAACGGAACAAAACGCATGTTTGGATAGGATCCCCTTTCATTTTTTTTATCGATTTTGATTTGGCTTTACGATACGATTTACGTATATTTTTATCGTCCGGCATATTGGCTTTTTTGGATCTTTTCCATCAGTTTAGAATTGTAATTTTATCATTTTAAAATTTTTTTTTTCCTTTTCCTTTTTTTTTACAAAGCAAACTTTTAAAGATCAAATCGTTGGCATTTTTTTTATAATAGTTCTGACGCAAATCGTAATCGGTTTTAGTGCAGAACAACAAAAACTTTTTTTTTTTATTTGCCTTTACTTGGCCTTATTCTAATAAACTCGGCTAGTTTGAGTGACGTTTTTTTTGGTGCGCTCTTGAAACTTTTCTATATCAGGATAGAAGCAAACACTTTCTTTAAATTTTTTTGATCTCGACGTTTTATGGCCAAAAATTAGTCCTAATAGTATTAATTTTTAAGACTTAAACACTTTGTAGTATAAAAAAATCGCAGTCCTTAAAGGATCTGAAATTTAAGACGGGTTTTTTTCACGGAAATAGAAAAACGAATTATTTTTGTTCTGAATAAATAAAGACATTTCCTTTTTTTTCAATTTCTCACACCATACATACTATTTTTACCGAGAAGTCAACTTAGTTTTTTTTTTTTTTTTCTTGGGTTGTTTTTAGMTGAAGTCCACTCACCTTGAAAGTTTTAGATTCACTTTTTGGTCGCAGGTGTTGGCTCGAAGTAGCGAGCTTCATGCGYAGCCTATACTATGTACATTTTTTTTGAGAACGATCTATAAGCTTTGTTTGTGACAAAGACCAATGTTTATTTAGACGATTTTTTTTTAGCACAAGCTGTCATTTGCTTCCTATCCGAATTTAGCGTATATGTCCTCACAGTTTTTTTAACTTCATTGTTGACATGAAATACTTCCGATTTATGATATGAAATATAGGGAATTTTTTTTTTAAAATTACGTGTTGTCAGTTCTGCTATAGGGAATTATTGTTCTTCGTGATGTTTTTTTTGCATTGTAAAGAATATATTAATTATCAGGAGGCACTTTATATCTCCTAAAGAATTTTTTTTCTTACGATATGATATAGGGAGTAGCGAATTAAAATAGCGTTGGCATTACTTTAATTTTTTTTTTTTCTAGAAAATAGTAATGATATCTGTGTGAGAAATAGTATACTCTACAGTTTTTTTTTGTAGGCACTTATCTTATTGTTTTGAATGTCTACAATAATATTTTGATTTAAGATTTTTTTTAAGGATATTTGCTATTAGGATGTGTTGGCGATAGTGTCCAAATAAGCTAATTTCTTTTTTTCAAGATAGAATTATATCGTATAAGAAGTAGCAACTTCTAATGGAATTGTCCATTTTTTTTTTTTTGTTGAAATTTTGTTTTGTTTTGGCATTGTATTAATTATTTGATTGGATGATTTTTTTTATTTGTTAYTGCCCATTCATATTTTCTCCCTTTYYCCCCTTTCTTTTATTTTYTTTTTTTCATTCCATCATCATCTTTTCTTTGAGGAATGTAGGATAAACAGACTAAGAATAWTTTTTTTACAGACAAGCAAACGAAAAGCACTTTAAAAATCGCTAGTGTAAGGCTGAATACATACTATAAATTCTCAGTGATTTTTCGTCTACATTCTTTTTGAATTTTTTATTTCCTTGTGCAAATACTTTGATTCGTATTTTTACCATATGATTCTCATTTTCTTTAAATGATTTGATGTTTTTCAAATACACATATCCTTCATATCTTTAACATTTAGTTTACGTTAATCTCCTGTTATAGTTTTTTTTCTTATTAGGTTTTATAATTAAAACTATACATTTCAATTTAAGAAGATGAAAATGTTTTTTTTTTTCTTAAAATGTGTATCAATTAATGTCAGGAGGCTACGCTTAAGTCGGATATTTTTTTTCATTTAATTGCTTGCCWTCCTATGTTAAGTCAACGTTTGATTTGCGCATCAGTTTTTTTTTCAAWATGTGTAAATTGATTACAGAAAACCATTTGAATGTTATCTTTTTGAAAGCTTTTTTTATGCTGCTGATTTTGGGAAAGCCTTTCAAATGCTGCTGATTAATTGGAAAGCCTTTTTTTTGCTGATGATTTTTGGAAAGCCCATTAAATGCTCTTCGAAGATTTTTTTGGTGATTTTTTTTTCTATCTCAATGTGTAGATCGAAAGAAAAGACATTTAAAAATGTGATTTTTTATTTTTTTTATCCCTTACAAAGCCTAAAAGTTTCAAATGTTGTTGATTTCTTGGAAAGACATTTTTTTTTACAGTTTTTTTTATAATATGTAACCATTTATTATGTACCAGTCCAATTTTGCATTTTTTTTAGTGGTCAATGATAGTTTTGCCTGATTGACTACAGTTCTGATGGCTAGCAATATTTTTTTTTATATTTTAATCGAAAAGAAAGCCATTCGAATGTTATCTTTTTGAAATCAACCATTTTTTTAACCTTTCAAATGCTGTTGATTAATTGCAAATCCTTTTAATATATTTCCCATCATTTTTTTGGCCAGTCCTTGATTTACGCATATATCTAACGTTTAAAAAATTAAAGAAAACCATTTTTTTGCAATCTCTCTTAAATCAATTTCAGAAAACCTTTAATTGCGGAAAGGCTTTTAATTTTTTTTTTCTCCCTCTTTGTCAATAAAACGATTTGCGCAACACTTAGTCTATATACCAATTTTTTTGGAAGGCAAATATCACCGAAAAGTATTTATACATTTACGTACATAAAACGCTTCCCTAAAATATTGTCTGCGCATGCTCTGGCTAAGTTTCCCGTCAGGATTTCTAGGGCGAAAATTTTTTTGAACTTGTGACTAACTACGCACGTAAAAATAAACAAAACAATTTTAACTGGATGTATTGTTATACACTTGTAAACATTCTTTCTTTGTCAATATTTCAAAAATTACTATTCCAATTTTTTTTATCGCACTATGTCATCTAACATTATGGTGCTACTCAAGATTATCAGTTTCTCTATTTTTTTCAAAGGTGCTTGAATTACGCACGCWAAGTCGTTATTCTAAGCACCGCGTTAATTTTTTTTTAAATTGTCAAGTACGATTTGAGTATTATACTAATTTATATCCCATTTTACCATCTTTTTTTATATCAAGATACAGGCATTCATAACGTTATCATGCTATATGTAATTTCATAAGGCTAACTCTCTCATTCAAAATCATTTTTCTGCACTTTTGAACCCTGRAAAGAGRGTGGTTAKTTTTTTTTATYACATCCTCTGGATCCGTCCTTAWKSYTTKRAAMYTYSRAAA